ATATTTTTTTTTTTTAGATGTAGATGGATAAAATATCTTTATTTTTATTTACATTTTTATGTGGTGCTGAGGATCAAACCCAGGGCCTCACGCAAACAAGGCAAGCACTTTACCACGGAGCTACAACCTAAGTCCTAATCTTATTTTTATATTGCTTGAGACAGTCAAGTCAGAAAGCAAACAAGACTATCTTCAACTTCATCTCATGTTTACCTCATTTTTATAGATCAGAAAACTAAGGTCTAGATCTGAGCTTAAATAACTTGCTCAACATCATAAAACTAGTTTGTGGTGGAAATGAAACCCATGTTTTAGCCCAAACCCAGTGTTCCCTCTTTTAAAACCTCTTTTAAAACCATACTATTCTCACAGTCCCACAGTCCCAGCCCTCAGACTCAGTACTGATGATAGGCTAAACTCTTTAGTTCATTAGAAAGTTCAATAAACTTTTTCTCCAGCTCTTTTACCCTACTTGGTAGTAAATACAAGTACATAAAGGAGGGCTGGAATAAGTTAATTAAGGGCATCGAGAGAGATGGGTAGGTTGTTGTTGGTCTCAACAGGGATGTTAAAAGAAAAGCTAGCTCCCAGAATTGAATCAGTTACATGGGTTCCCTGACTATTGTTGCCCTCTAATTTCCCCAGCTAGAAGTGGTTTGTGAATGGTGAATTCCACAGCAGCCAGCCCTAATCTAACCCCCTACCCTGTGCTGGACCCCCAGGCCGGGGGAACTGTGTGAGGACAGGCAGGGGACTGAGTCCTGTGCAGACATTGCTGAGGCTGGTGACAGGAGAGGGTGCTGGAGACTGAGTAGGAGATGTGACAGGGCTGCTGCTCATTTGTGTGTTGGCCTGTGGAAGAGAGGAGCACATATCACATAAACACCAAACATTATTCTCTGCATATTCCTATGGCGTGGCTTTAAATTTACCTCTCAGGAAATAATTTGCTCTTGTGAACTCTGCCAAAGTCAGATTGCTCCTTGAAACTGATTTCTTAACCCTTAATTAATTAATTAACATCCACTTTTGACATACCATGTGCAATTTTTTTTTTTTTTTTGGTGGTGCTGGGAATAGAACCCAGGGCCTCCTTTAAGGAAGGTGAGAACTCTAACACTGAGCTTCAACTCTTCATTTAAAATATTCTCTGATGAGCATTTACTAGAGTGTATTCCTTCTCCCACCTTAGATTTTAGGTTCCTTAATGGAGAATGCTCTCTTCAATTTCTTGTGTTTCCCCCCGAAAATACCCAGGGAAAGATGTGTAAAAGAGGCTGCTCCGTCAATAACAAAGATTGCTCCCTGGGAATATTCTGGTCCCCTCCTTGCCAAGACAAAGCAGGGTTGGAGGACTCACCTGGGGGCTAGTGTCAGGATTGTACAGGTCTCCAGGCTTCTGACCCCGCTGGTCCATGCTGTAGTATTTACAGTGATTCCATGGAACCATGGATGGATTTTGGGGGGGCTGGGGTCCATTAGGGACATTCAGTTGCATGACCACCACTCCTGGTCCTGAAGGTGACACTCCTGAGTGGCAGGAAAAAAGCAGTTGGTTAAGAATTCAAAGTATATTTTATTCTTCCAGTTAGCCCTGAGTGGGAAAGCCAGTAAGCAATACACACAACTCACTTCAGGGTCACTCAAACAGTGTCCTGCCAGGAATCTGAAATCACTGCTGATTTGGCTTCTGACTCCCTCTCCCCAAACCAGTGGAAGTTTGAGTGGAAGAGAGATGATGCCAGTGCTCTCTTGGCCTTCACCTGGTGAGGGGCACTTTGGTATGCTTGGCAGAAAAAGTACTCCATTCCGTCAGAGTTGGGTATTACCAAATACCCAGGTCAGATTGCTCAAAGGTCTGGGCATGATAAAGGGCTGTAGACATGCACAAGTTTTTCTGGTAAGGGCTACAGGTAAGTCAGAAAGTTCTGATTGTACTAGAGAAGATGCACACAGCTTCATGGAGCCAGACTTCAGAAATATTTCTTGGCCAAGGGTTGGGTGGGGTGGGGTGGGAAACCTTTCAAGCAGAGGGAATAGCATGGAAATATACATCATGTTTAGGAAATGACAAAAGACATGAGGTGCGAAGACACAGGCACTATGTAGGGGAAGCAGCAAAAGCTGAGGTATATTTATGAAACAAACATTTATTGAACATTTACAATGTGCTAGTCGTTTGGCTGAGCACTGAGTGTGCAAAGAACAAGCCTGATCCTGCTCTCCTAAAAGGAATAGTCTGCTAACAAGTCAGACATTAAACAAAGAGTTAATGTCAAAGTTTGAAGTGCATTTTGGTAAGATGCTTGGACTTTATCCTAGAGGTACTGGGACAGAACTGATGCTTTGACTGCCAATCCAAATAGCAAAATGTAGGATAGTGAAGGGAGGAAAACTGTGGCAAGAAGACCCATTAGGAAGTTCCTGAAATGGATGAGGAGATTCTGAATGAGGTCAATACCAGAGGAGGACAATGGGAGTTCAGACATTCTGACTGCTACAATGACAGTTTCAGGTGATGGGATGCAACCCTTAAATATAGGCACTGGTAACCATGGATAGCCTCATCAACTCACAGGATGGAGGAAGGAAAGGGCACAATGAGGATGAATATTGTCTTAAATCCTCTTCGTGGTAAACAGGTAAGAAGTCAGGGAGAAGTAGTTGATGGACAGTTCCCCCAGGGAGGAATAGGTACAGTTTCTGCTTCCCCACAGGGGATTGTCCAGTCAGGGGGTTTGCTCTTGACCTCCCAGGCTAAATTCTGTTGAGACTGAGTTCCTGTGTGTGGTAGTAGAGAAACAGGAGCTGAGGTATACTAGATTGAAAAATCTGCTGTAATGCTGCTGTTTTCCTGGTTCTGTGCTCCAGGATTGCTACTACTGCTGCCACCATATTGCTTCCTATGATGGGAAATGTTGCCTCTTGCCCTGGGCACTAGTCATGCTGGGAAGTGAGTATGATTGCTTTTCTCAAGGTAGTATTGGTCAAAGGAAAGGAAAAGCAGCAGCAGGAGGCCTGAGAGAGCCCCTCAGAAGACATGGCATCTATCAGATCCTATTCCCCAGCCAATGTGTGCCTCCTACCCTTTAGGGTTTATCCAATCAGGGAGCACAAATAGTTAGAGCAACAGGCCTGTATCTCCCCATCCCCTACTGAGCGGGGGAGAGGGTATTCATCAGTATGGTTTGTAGAAAGGCCACTGGAAAATTGCAGTTGTGGAGTATCATGCATTTAACAACTCTCTCCTTACTATAGTTGCCTTGGGCATTTTTATTTCCCCATCCTAAGAGCCCCATCCACTCCAACATCCTCTTTCAACAAAATTGCAATTGACCTTATTCAAACTCCTCATTGATACCTGAGGGAGCCAATGTAAAAATAATCAAATCCACAGCTTTTCTAGAAGGCAGCTCATAATCTGAGCCCAATGCCCTGGGCCAGGAAAAATGGGGGATGTGTGAGGGTACAGGGGTGAGCATAAGCAAGGCAAAAGAATCTCTAATATCAAAGTGTAGCCATAAGGAGCTACTGGGGGCTCAAGGGGAGAGAAGAAGAAGAAGAAGAAAAAAAAAAGCCCACATATTATTTTCTCTGATTCCAACAAAAACAAAGCCAGGATTCTTAGTCTACAGCCTCTTTCCTGATCTCCTCCCCATACTCAGTCCTCCCCCGCTGGCCTGGAGCATTGTTCCTTCACTCAGGCGAGGACACAGAGCACTACTCTGCTGATGAGCTGATTTTTATGCTTCTCTTCCTCAAGCCAAAAGCAGGTGGCATCCGTTAAGCAGCTGAACTGTCGCTACTTCTTAATGGACGTGGCAATAAAAAAGAAAGACAAAAACCCACTGCCCAGTGATGGCACTCCCATATAATCAGGTTGGGGGAAGGAGTCTGGGTTGAGAGCTGGTAGGAAGGGGGAGAAAGGGGCTGAATAAGGAAATCAATTTCAGCTTGAAAGCTCTAAAAGGAGAGGGGACATGTGAATGGCTTTTTAAGTGGCATCATTAAACCTGGGCAGAAAGGTCGATTGGGCAGAGCAAATCGTATAAATATAAACAGATGACATTTATGTCTGGCAGAATTGTTTTTCGTTTTTTGTTTAGGTTTTTTTTTTTTTTTTTTTTTTTTAATCACTGAGGTGGAAGACTGATAAGTTTTCTTCCTTACCCCCAGGAATCGAACCTATGGAAAACAATGTCTAGAGAAATAAAATCCAAAGGTGTATTTCCCAAATTGTAGGATAAAAATCAGTATCTTGACCTTTTCTCCTTTTTCCCTTTGGTGGGGGAAAGGGGTATCTTCAGGAAGTGGAAGAGAATAGTCTGAGCTTTCGAATGCCCCCAGGTAAAAAAATAAACCAGTAAGTATATGACAGGCTATTCCTGTATGCATCTTACTCTGTCCATGCTGCTGTGTCACTGTGAGTTGGGAGTACAGGTATTGCTGCCATTTCATGTCTAAGTGCATCTTCCCCTGACAAGCATCCCTGTAACAACCTCAAGGGACCCACAGCCATTATTTTGGTAGGAAGAAAAGTGTTTCCTGGAGTTATAGTTATATCTAATATTATAGGGGAGGAAATAAGGTACAGGCTTGGGGGTAAACTGGGCAGCTACAAAAACGTATTAATAAATCAGAACAGTTGTTCCAGGAATGACCAATCTAATCCCTGCCTTTATTTTTGGAAAAGTGACCATGTTGCTACATAACAGGAAGGCGGGTGACTGTTCTTTGAAGGTGACAGAGCGGTCCTTGTGGGCTATGCCTGTTGTCTATATTCCCAATAAAAGGTAAACTGGAAATGAAGGCAGAAGAAGCTTCTCCCCTTTTATTTTTTATATATGGACCTTTATTTTATTTATTTATGTGCAGTGCTAAGAATAGAACCCAGTGCCTCATACATGGTAGGCAAGCACTCTTCCACTGAGCTACAACCCCAGCCTCAGAAGCTTTTTCCACTCCCTCCATAAATAGTGATTAAAAAGTTAAAATTACTGGTGTGGTAAATATGGTCTCTTAGATGACCTGGGTAGAACAGAGGGTTTCTAGGTGTAAAAGGGGCAGTTGGAAAGCCCAAGATCAATCAAGATGGCTGGGAAGAAAGGAGATATTCCTGGGAAAATTCCAAAGAAGCAAAGGAAATAAATGATGAAGAAGGTTTCCTCATTTCTTTTTTTTTTTTTTTTTTGAGGGGGGGCGAGGTGTGGGTACCGGGGATTGAACTCAGGGGCACTCGACCACTGAGTCACATCCCAGCCCTGTTTCGTATTTTATTTAATGACAGGATCTCACTGAATTGCTTAGCACCTTACTTTTGCTGAGGCTGGCTTTGAACTCATGATCCTCCTGTCCTTAGCCTCCAGAGCTGCTGGGATTACAGGCGTGTGCCACTGTGCCCAGCTTCCTCATTTCTTTAGATTTGAAAAGCCTAGATTATCTCCTTCTTCCATACCCCCAGCCCAGATGTCTAGTGTTAGCTTCCAGAATAGCAGCTGTTTTAGTTGACTTAATCCAGAACTTAATCTGTAGTTTTTTTTCTGGATTCAAAAATCTTATATTTGAATATGAACAAATATAACCAAAGACCAAATAGATAATGACATACCACAAAGGATATACACAAAAATGTGTATACAAGTATACCTGCATGCACATGTACACACTTATCTTAATAAATAGGAGAGAAAATGCCCTGCAGTACCAAGCACCACCACAGGCTACAGTGGTTCTTGGAGCTAGTTTCTACAATTTCCATACTCTGCTGGGAATTTCAAGGCCAAGTTCCCCTGGTGGATAGGAAAAATAGTCGAAGACACCACTTACATAATAAAAAACAAAAGTCTATTGAATTTAAAACCTCAGACTGTAAGAATCCATGTTTAGCCTAGATGAAGTCAGAAGTCACTGCTCCTTAAAGAACTGACCATGTCTTATGAGCAAGATAATTCTAGAACTACCTCATAGAGAGGGTGTAAAAAATTTTAAGTGAAAAATTCCATTTCTAAATGGGAGAAACTGGCAAAATATCTCCCTCTCACCAGAAGAGGGCACTCTGACATTCCCACAATAGAGTGGAACCAAGATGATTAAAGGCTAAATTGAGACTTCCCTCCAGAAACTCTGAAGTTTCTTTAACTGCTGTGGGATGCAACATAGGATATGGAAAGTCAAAAGTCCCAAGTTCAAGTTCTATGATAGTGATCTAAGTAAGTAATGTAACCTCTCTGAAGTCTTAATTTCCTCCTTACAAAGTATGGTAAGAGTTCAAATATCAATGTATGTGAGGCACACACTAAAAGTTGCTAAACTGATATGACTTAAAAAAAAAAGCATTTTTTTAACTTCCCCCACCAGAGAAAAGCCATCTAAAGGAAGAATGAGTGCAGGTGACAGAGGTGAGTATTTTATGACCCAAAAGTATCTGAGTGTAATACTGGATTCAGGAAAGAAGAGAGGAAGGGGGAGGGGGAAAACTGGGGAGGTAGGGTAGAAGAGGGGGTAGGAAGGGGAGAGGCTGGGGATGTAGCTTAGTGGTAGACTGCTTGCCTAGCATGCATAAAGCCCTGGGTTCAGTCCCCAATTCCCAGTGCTGTCAAAAAAAAAAAAAAAAAGAGAGAGAGAGAGAGCGCAATATGGACGCACACACATGTGCACAGGTGCTCAGAGCACAGCAGAGTAAAAGAAACCCAGAGATATGGCTTCCTAACCTCATCAGAGATCAGCTCCAGCACCCTTGGATAACCCCTGTCAAGACTTTGGTCTTTCTTCATGATGGGGTCAGTAAATCAACTCTAAAACTTTCAACTTTCAACTCTAAAGCACAAGCCTGGCAGCAATGTTTGCCCTTACCAGTACCCAAGCCCTCCCCAAATTCTTTTTTTTTTTTTTTAAACAAATGAATTTACATCCTTTCCCAGCACTTTTAATTAATTATTATTATTATTATTTTTTTTTGAGAGAGAAAGAGAATTTTTTTTTTTTTTAATATTTATTTTTTAGTTTTCGGCGGACACAACATCTTTGTTTGTATGTGGTGCTGAGGATCGAACCCGGGCCGCACGCATGCCAGGCGAGCGCGCTACCGCTTGAGCCACATCCCCAGCCCGAGAATTTTTTAATATTTATTTTTTTTAGTTTTCGGAGGACACAACATCTTTGTTTGTATGTGGTGCTGAGGACTGAATCCAGGCCACACGCATGCCAGGCGAGCACGCTACAGCTTGAGCCACAGCCCCAGCCCCTCCCCAAATTCTTTATCCTCTTACCTGAGTACTGCTGTGGCATCTGTGGTGGACTGCAGGGAGAAGGAGACTGAGGCATCTGGTACTGTTCAGAGCCAGGGGGCTGTAGAAACCCCACAGAAGGGCTAGAGAGATGAGAAGAGAGGAGTGGTGAAGCAGTAGAGAGGGTAACAGCTCCTGGCAAACAGCTGCTGCTTCTTTGGGCCTCCCTGTGGGAAGCAGAGGCAGCTCCAAGCCATTCCCAGACCAATTTCTAAAATCACTCATCAGTTCAAAGTTAATTATATATATTTGTACTTGATCATCTTTCAATTAGGAAGCTGCTAATCAGTGCTACAGATGGAATGTTAGCGACACATGCTCTTTTCAACAGTGTGGAAACACCAGGCATATACACATGCGCACAAACATGCGCGTGCACGTATGCGTGCACAGATTCTAGAAACACAATAAGAAACAGGCAGAGTGTGTCAGAGAAAGACACAGAATGTTAGAAAGAAATGTGTTAAACAAAAGTAAGAAGATGTATGATTTAGGATCTATGTATAATGGCGTACACTGAGAGTCCCTAAAGACAAATGGGTATGGGGGGACCCACAAGATTCAAAACAACATAGAGACATATATATAGAAAGAGATAAACAAATATACATTGGGAGACAGACACAGAGAAATGCAGACAGTTAGACCCATACTTGAGTTCTAGTTCCAGCTCTACTTCTAGCCAGCTGTGTGACTTTGGGGATGCAACCCTACCTGAAATTTCTTCATTTAAAAATCAAGACAGGAAAATAAAATAAGGGCTGTGGACTAGATTATTTTTAAAGTACGTTCTATGGTTATGATTCCATTAGCTATGATATACACTTATACAGAAAATAGATATACAGAAATAGATGTGCCATTAGAGTTTCATCTATAGACATACAAGTATACACAGAAACTTATGTACATAGAACCCAAAATTGCTTTGTTCCTTTTTTTGTGTGATACTGGGGATTGAACCCAAGAGTATTCTACCTCAGAATGGCTACATCCTCAGCCCTTTTTAAAATTTAAACTTTAAGATATATCTCATTAAGTTGCCCAGGCAGGCCTTGAACTTGTGATCCTCCTGCCTAAGCCTCCCAAGTAGCTGGGATTTCAGGTGTGAGGCACTTTGCCTGGCTCCAAAATTGCTTCTTTTAATGACAAGTACAGTCTCTGAAACCTAGTTCTCAGTCCCACTGATTTGAAAAATTAAAAAATGGGGAATATTATAAGCATCCATCTTTGAAGCAGGAATTTTTTCTCTGCTGATGGGCTCTATGCAAAGTTAAATCATCAAGGAACAAAGGAAAATGAACTCCCTCATATTCTACCTGCTTTAGAGCACTACTGGGATTCTTACTCCTGTGTTTCCTAGGCCAATAGAAACAGAAGACAATACAACAGTTGCTGAAAGTCTATGAAAAATATACCGTTGCTCTCCAGCAGTCCTCACCTTGTACCGTTCTGCTGAGCTGGTGGGATCATGCTGTAGTACACTGGTACACCCCCTGCAGGGAGACCTCCTTGTACAGACTGGCTCGCAGGGACCAGCATGGGTTGTTGAAAAGGTGGCTGAACCACATTTTGCGAGTCACTGCCCACTGGGACCTGGGTAGAAAACAGAATATCTAATTGTACTCTTGAGTTCATCTACAGAACAGCTTAGTCATCACTAGATCAGGGCATTGCAACTTCCTTCTTTACTTCTTACAGCCTCCTCCTATTCTCTTTATTTGTCCAGAGGAAATGGTCACAGAGCGATCTCCATTTTCCCCTTCTCTGAATATCACCCTTGGGCATCTGACATAAGAAAGAATTGATTTCCTTTAGACCCTACTTTCCCAGGCATTTGCACGGCTTTATAAACACAAACAACTTAAAAACTCCTCTCAGACTTTCTTTTAGAGAAAAGTCCCTAAAACTTCTAGGGGGAAATAGACAATATTTTAGTATTGAAATTGTATGGATGATCCTGGGAGGCTGTCCTTTTCCTCATCTCAAGGCCTGGGTGATCTTTCCCAGTGCAGAATGCACTCACTTGGTAAGAAGGCAGTGGAGTGTACTGAACCACCAGGCCTTGCATTTGGCCCCCCATGTTGCTCCTCTGGTTGCTGAGCAGGCCTTGGTTCTGGGGCTGCTGGACCCCAATCATGCCTTGGTAAGCCGCCTGTTGCTGGTTAGGCATCATGGGCTGTAAACCTAGGGATAGGCAAAGCAGAAAAAAACATTAGTATAAATGTTTAAAAGGCAACTTTCTAGCAGTAATTCCCTTCTCCATTCTATTTTAAGCCTCCATCCCCCCACCCCCATCCCTAGCCAAAGAACCTGGGCCCCTCCTTTGGACCCTAATAATTCCTTCTTTTTTTTTTTTTTTTTTTTTTTTTAAGTGGGGAAGGTAATTTCTCTGTCCTTTTCCTATGAGCCATCTTCTTACACCAGTGGCTCCTCTTACCAGGCTGCTGGGATGGCTGAGGCAGCTGTTGACCACGTTGGGGGCTGTAGGCCACCGGGTGGGAAAGAGGTCGATATTGCTGGTTGGAATTAGGATATTGTCCAGGGGGATAATAAGAAACCTGGATCTATAATAGAGAGGAAACAAATTACTAAATACCTCAGGGCTGATAGATGGAAATTTGTAAATAGAGATATTCTATTAGGCCAGCAATTACAAGATTATTATACAAGTCTGAAATATAATAGCACTTGTGTTAGAAAGAAGACCTTCTGTCTAGAGTGATAATGCTTAAGCACACTGTGGGGAGAGTACCCCTTCTGGTCTGCCTAAACTAGAAGAAGGAAAGATTAAATACTGGATAAACTGAATTAGAGACTGAAGTTGAGGACAGGGGCTGCTTACCTGTTGAGGAGGCTGTATGTAGCCCTGGGGTGGCAGGACTTGCTGAGTAGGTGGTGCGTGGCTAGAAGTGGAATAGTTGGAAGTGGGGAGGGGCTGTCCGGTGGAAGCCATGATGAAGCTAGTCTGCTGAGGGTGCTGGGAGATAAGTGGGGGCTGGAATAGAGCTGAAGAGGGGTCAGCTGCTTCAGTAGAACCTTGGCGGCTAAGGCTCATTTGTCCAAAGGGGTTGCTGAGGTCATCTGCCTGTTGAGAGAGTTGGAGACTCTTAAGTCTCATGTCCTTGCTTCAATATAGAAAGACAGAAACAACAAGGTTCTCTACAGTCTTCTTTTTAGGGACAGGCCTGCCTTTTTGCCCTGAGAAGGCTTTTTTAGCCTTAAGCCTTTGACATGTGATATTTTAAATTGCTATGAACTGAATAGTAGAAACCTAACTCCAGAGCCATTCTCCTTATCATATGTGAGGCAACAATGGCTACATTGATCATGATTGTTATTAGAATTAGTCTTGGGGGGATGAGTACAATGATAATACAATAGAATGATACATAACAATGATAGATAACTTCTATCTATAGAAAAAACTGGATAAACTAGTGGGTTAAAGAAAAAGATGTTAAGGTTTTTCCTGTTTCCCACCTTCCTCATGTCCCTAACCATAAAAATGGCTCCTATGTTGCTATAGATTCTGTTTTTATAATAAAGAACCTAGATAACACCTCTGAATGGATCCTGGGTGGCTAGGTTCATGTGCCTTACAGCTCTGTCTAGCAGTAAAGGACTGCTGGGCTCCACTCCTGCTGCTTATCTTTTTATTTGTGATGGAGGTCATTTCCACTTTTGTTCTTTGACACTAGCCTAGAGTTCTCCACTCCTTCAGAAGCCACTTCTAATTCTCACCTCCGAAAGGAGGCCAGGGTGAGTGGCTGAGCTAAAGGAGGAGACTGACTGGCCAGACTGTAATTACCTTCTCCCTCAGCCCTCTTCCCTGAGCAGCAAGAGTGATGGTATCCCATCTTTCACTTGTACAGTGATAGGTTATTTTTTAAGTTTCCTTTTTTCTACCCTCTGGATAATAATATATTCTCTCTCTCTCTCTCTCTCTCTCTCTCTCACACACACACACACACACACACATACACACATGTGTGTATGTCTACCAGAGCAAGAGTTTTTTTGAAAAGAAACTAGCAGAAACCAAAAGACAATGTTGTACTGCAGTTTCACTTTACTTTCAGGGATCTGTTTTGCTATCTTATTGGTTAAGAATAGATGATAAAAGATAAGAGATTAGTCTTAGATTGCAGATTATTTTAAGGTCCATGTTCTAGGACTTTTCAGAATAAAGAAAAGAGATAGGAGAAAAGAGCGGAATTCTAGTGAAAAAGCAGAAAGGTATAATAAACATAAAGTAAAAAAAAAAAAAAAAAAAGAGGACTCCTATAACCATGATGGAAGTTATCAACTGTGAGGCAGATCAGACCTTCAAAGTATTTAAGTCAGGGAATAATTTAAATAACATATACTGTGCAGAATACTTTTCATATAAAACAACACGTAAATTAGGTAAAAAATGGATCTGCTGGGTGCAGTGGCGCATGCCTGTAATCCCAGTGGCTGGGGGGCTGGAGCAGGAGGATCATAAGTTCAAAGCCAGCCTTGGCAATGGCAAGACGCTAAGCAACTCAGGGAGACCCTGTCTCTAAATAAAATACAAAATAGGGCTAGGGATATGGCTAAGTAGTTGAGTGCCCCTGAGTTCAATCCCCAGTATCAAAAAGCAGGGAGGGGGGTGTTAAGATTTTAAGCTTTTAACCACTGATACCAAAGAAGTCTGTAGTTGTGTTATTATTTTTAAAAGAAACTGTAGAGAACCATTCTGTACAAAATAAACTGGGTTCATCAAGACATGTCCAGGGAGCAAATTAAGAAGACATACATGATATAATAAGGGGCCTAGGTTAGATCAACATCCAATTTCATTCCCCTTACTAAAACTCTGGGGAACTCAGCATTCCTATCTTATATTTAGGTGTGCTGTGATGAGGCCATCAGAATGGAGTACAGTTCAGCCTGTGCGGGGCCCCTCAAGAATAGCTTTCAACATGCCCTCCAAAAGCACAACATGCTTGCAAGGCCATCACAGATTGACCCAGACATACGACAGAAACAGGCCATACATGGACAAGACAAAAAGGGAGAATGGAGTTTATACCATGTTGTACTGCTGGGGCGGAGAGACTGGCAGAAGGACTTGGGGACAGGAGCTTGGAGAGAACTGAACAGGCTGCGGAGAGGGCTGCAGAGCTGGGACTGGCTGTGGACCAGCAGAGAGGCATGTAGAAAAGGGAAGAGAAAAGGGAGGCATGGAGGGAGGCAGCAGGGCAGAGATGGGGAGGGAAAGGGAAGGAACAACAAGGTTAATCATGAAAAAAATTTCACATGAATCACAAGGTTGCTGAGTAGGTTGACCACCAAGCCTGGGATAGCTTATAGCTTTCACCTCTCTCTGACAAACAAACAAATTTCTCCTATGAGGAGCCATCTACTAAATGCCCCACCCTCTTGGCACTTAGAACTGTGCAGCTGCTGTGAGCAATTTGAGAACTGTCAGGGCCAGGGCCTGTTGCCTGATTTCAAATGATGATTTTTCCCAAAACCTTTTTTCTGAGCACAGGATTCCTGGTGAGCTTGATCATAACCCTCCTGAGTGCCTACTGGGATTCCTGTTTGCACTGCTTCAGTAGGAAGAGTCATCCAAGGTCAGCTCTCCTGGAGGAAGTGCTCTTTCACAGGGACCGACTCCCTCCAGAGGGCAGAAAAAGGAAAAAAAAAAAAACACCCAGCTGATGCCTGCTTCCAACTACTTCCTCTTGCTCCATGATTTTCGGTGCTCCTTCAGGCTGTGAGGGCAATACGAAAAATGCCCCCATAAGCAAACAAGGGGATTTTAGGGATAAAATATAAACAGCTTAGCTTCAGTTTCTGTACCTTCAGTCTCTTCACTAGCCTCAAGCAGTAGGATTTGTTTACTGGAACATGCAGTTTTCTAAACCAACTAATGGGTAGTTATTTTTTTCTCTTCTTTTCCCCTCCAGTCCTTTCAACTGCCTCATCAGTTCTCTAGTTATAACCCCCCGGTGGCAGGAGGGATGGGAGAAGGAGAAAGGTGATGAAGAGGAGGGAAATAATATTTATTTATATACTCTGTCTCCTGATTGCTTCACAAGATTCCCGTAGGGAGATAGGATAACTTGTACTTGCAATTAAGAAAGTAAGCCTCAGAGAAATTAAATTCCTCACTTAGGATCACACAGCTAATACAGCAGAGCTGAGATTGAAACCTACTTTTATAGGACAAGTGCTTTTCCAGTCTGCTCTAGCAATAGGGAGGAAGAGAAGGAAGAGGCCAAAGAGAACTCTTCTAGAATCTTCCATGGGCTCCTCCCTCCATATTTAGAGTATTAATAGATATGGGGGCTGTAATATTGATAGTATTGCCTGCCACATATCTCCAGGAAATTTTCACAAAGGAACTAATAGTTCAAGTAGAAGAACGTGCCCCCACTCTCCTCCATCACCACCAAAAGGGAGAAAACTGGAGCTTCAGCAGAGGAGATATCTAGATTTTAAAAATTTAGTGGCTGGGGTTATGCCTCAGTGGCAGAGCACTTGCCTGACATATGTGAGGCACTGAGTTTGATTCTCGGCACTGCATATAAATAAATAAAATAAAGGTCCATTGATAACTAAAAAAAAAAAATATATTAAAAAAAATTTAAGTCATGTTGACTAGGAAAAAGTTACTGAGAAGACCTTTTGGGACCTGGAGGGAAGTGGCTGAGGCCTAGAAAATCAACTCTTAGCCCTGGAAAATAAACTGTTAGCCCTACTGTCACACTTATTTTCCATAAACCAATGATATTCCAAATGTAACTGTTGGCCAAGTTGCTCAGCATTAGCAGCATAAGCTAGGGTGGCTTTTATACATGTTTTATATTATACTAAAATCCTGTTCTTGCTCTTGGAGGAGGGTATAACTTGGAGAAGGAACAATAAAGTGATAAAAGAAGTCTGGCTTGTGGGTTTTAAATAAAGAGTGAACAGAGAAATGATGCTCCTCTCTTAGGCCTCCCCTAAAAGGGTAAGGGCAATAGTAAAGGTAAGGGTCTTGCTGTCTTTTTTTTTTTGGCGGGGGGGCAGGGGGCATGGGGTGTGTATTCTATGCTACCCTCACCTATAGTGCTCTTCTTGGTCTGCCTCAAACTGCAGAGTCAGGGAACCTCTGAGGAACTATGAGGATGTGGCTGCCACCTACTGGCACATTCTAGGACAGATCAATGGCTCTTGGATGCCTGAGGACACCAGGAGAGAGGTTAAGAGGGCTCTATTACAGTGGTCCAATCTAGTTTAAGTCAATTGGGTAAAAGATAGCCACTGGCTCTTTATCCTCAGCCTGACTCCCTAGTTTCACATGCTTCACTAACATACCAGATGAATGCCTTCATGGAGCGAGAAGACCTGCCAAGAAGGGAAAGAGCACACTTGCTAGCACTGTCTCCATGCCTGGGGCAAATGCCTCCTGCTACAGAGCTAGAGGTAAATACTTTTTCTTTGAGTTTTTCTTGTACAGGATAAGCTTTAACATAAGCACAGCGGTATGTCTATATGTGGTCACTTCCTTCATCCTTATACTGTTATATAGCATTAGAGAAACTGAACAATAATTTTTCTTGGGCTTAGCAACTTTAGTTTGCAGAGCCTCCAGTGCTGAGGGGGAAAAAGAAAAGAAAGAGATATAAGAAAGAGAAAGAAGGGCATAAACAGAGAAGTAGAAAAAAAAAATGGAAGAAGATATATACAATGGTATGGTGGTGGTGGTGGTATAACTTTAGCAGCTACCATAATGTTTCTGCAACATCAATACTTACCCAGGGTAAGATTATTTAGTTTAGAGTTTGTGATCATGATTAACCTCAAGATAGAATTTCTGAGAGAAAAGAGATCTCTGTATCCAAACAATGATTTCCCATCCCCAATCCACAGCATCTACCTGGCACATTTCCTATAGAAGGGGAGTCAATACCAATGACTCAACCATTGATGCTTGGGGTCCAGTAGCAGGGAAGAACCCAAGTAGAAGTTTTGGGTGTAGGGCTCACCACTTGGACATTCAGTTTAAATTTTTAGTCTGAAATGGTTATTCTCTTATCTCTTTATTCTTCTCCCACTCTTGCTATCTACTTCTAGATATGGATGACAGATAGAAGGTGGAAGCAGATGGAAGACTAAGCATTAGAAAAGGGAGCAAGACTCTATTAAAATAATCATCTTTTAGAAAAAGAAAAAAGAACTAAAAAACATTGGAGCCTTGGAAAAGCTACACATACATAAGCACAGTAGGAGAAAGCCAGAAGAAAAAGCACAGAGTTTACCATGAGCTGGTTTGAATTAAGACAAAGGCAAAGAAAACATATACATACATACAATGCTTTAGTAAGAAGTAAGGGAAGTTGATAAAAACAAGACCCAACAGGGTAAATGGTAGTAGAATAACAAATAAGAAAGTCAGCACTATAGAGAAATTGCCTTAGGGACTATGGACTGGAATGATCTACATGTGTCTGATCTACATTCAGACACAAAGCTGCATTTCCTAGATCTTCATCTTTTTTTCCTTTTTTTTTTTTTTAGTACTGTGGATTGAATCCAGGGGCACTTTACCACTAAGCTACATTCCAGCCTTTCCCATTATTCATTGTAAGACAGGGTCTCACTAAGCTACCGAGACTGGCCTTGAATTTTAATTTTCCTGCCTCAATCTCCTGAGTTGCTGAGATAATAGGTGGGAACCACTATGCCCAGCTTCAGTTCTTTCTTTTAGCATCATTTCACAATATTTAGGATGGGGTAGAACTGACTGGGTCATTCTGAGGTATTTCCACTTGAGTTCCCAGTTCCTAGGGTATTAGTATTTAAAACTTGTTTCTAATACCTAGGAAAGAGATATATCTAGGACCATGATGGACTAACTGAACACAGGACCTTTCAGTTTAAATTTTTCTTTTAAAAGAAACCTTAAACTATAGAAAAAGAGTATAGACCCATGGGATTCTACTCATTAAAAGCTCTGTTCATGGAAGAAGAGAATAAATGAAAGTCTCAGTACAGCTCTACTCAGAGTATTCAGGCGGCTTTGTAACCTAGAAGGCTAAGGTTCCAATTTAAAGTAAGACCTGATTCTTAGGCTAATGACTTTCATGGTCTGCATAGAAGCAAAACTTCCCTTAATCCTAGTTGGTACTAACAGTTAGCAGTTCCAGCAATTGAAAAAGAAAGAAAGCCTTTTTTGTGTGAGGGAGGGGATAGGTTCCGGACCCTGATTTCAGGGACATTCAATCACTGAGCCACAATCCTTGCCCTATTTTGTGTTTTACTTAGAGACAGGGTCTCACTGAGTTGGTTAGCATCTTGCCATTACTGAGGCTGGCTTTGAACTCACGATCCTCCTGCCTCAGCCTCCCGAGCTGCTGGGATTACAGGCATGCACCAATGTGCCTGGCAAGGTAGCCCTTTTATAACTGAAAAACAAAGACAACTTTTGGGAGTATTTGAGTCTTATGGCATGTGTTGTTGGGTATCTTTCTCCCTAACCCCAACAAATAAATACATGTTTTGGGTCAATATATTTAGTCAGATTATGTGGGAGCTATAATCTTTTTGAGTTCCATATATGAATATGGTGAGCAAAATCACCTTGCTAATTACACAGAATGTAGAGGTAGAGTGGGTACAATAAAAAGGTGTGTGATAAAAGATACACTGACAATTATCAGGAAGAAGCAGAAGAAGTATAAAGCAAAAAACTCCTAGGCTGACTCTACAGAGTACTTTGGCCAAACATTTGTTCTTCTTCTCTCCCCATAACTTGACAAATAGGAAATGGGTAAGGGAGTGGCATATTTCCAAAAATTGATCCTTTCTGCTACCCACAGCACAAGAGATATGACTATACTTCCAGTGTTTACTTGAATCAGAGCAGAGGCGGCTCTTTGACAATGACTAGTGACTCACCTGTGAGATCATGTGATTATTCAAAGGTGGCTGTTGCTGAGGTGTGGGTGGAAGAGCAGGAAGTTGTTGTTGCTGCTGCTGCTGCTGCTGCTGCGGCTGGGCAGTACAAGGAAGAAGGCCCCGGACAGACTGGGGTGAGGTGACCTGGTTGCACACTTCTGGGGCACCTAGTGCCATACCTAAGGCAAAAAGGAGACCAATCCAGAGTTGTAAAATTGAGCCATGAATATACTACTCTTGAAGGGCCCAGCTGCAGGGCTCTTACTTTTTCCTTGCCCTTTCTCTTTACTCTCATCTGCCCATTCTCCACTGTCTTTTGGAGATCCATGCATGAACAAAGATGCATTTAAGCTAAGAGCACAGCCTTCCACTCAGCAGATTTCTATTCCCAAGGGACAGGAACCACCCTGACCCTGTCAATGTTTGGTTTTAGAATTGAACAAAATGTGAAACTACTGAGGCATGTCCCCCGAAGTTCCTAAAATTCTGATTAGATAGCTGAAAACACAAATTCTTACTTTCTGGGAAGGTACAGATTCATGGTCCCATAAGAGACCTGTTTTTCTTTGCTTTCTTCTCAACTTGCATTATGTCTTTCTAAGGTTGCTAACATGGTGACCTCACCTCTACAAGCACACAGCTGAACACATATATGTACAACCTATTTTTAATCCAACTATTTTTCTCACTTTTAGGCTCTCCAACACATGTACATATTTCTATAATATACTTTAAGAAAAAATAAAGAGAAAGGTTTATTTTGGCTCACTTTTTATTGAATATCTGCTGTGTGCCAGGTATCATGTAATGAATTAAGGATACAAAAAAGTGAAGGGAGTACAGTTCTTGTCCTCGAGAGGCACAGGACCTTCTGATGGAATGAACACCCACACAACTATCACAATCTGATAAGGATAAGGGACACAGAAACAAAATAACAAAGTATTATGACAGAAAAGATGAGGAAGCAAGAAGTCCTTAGAGGGTCAGAAAAGGATTTAAAGAGGAGGTGGCAGGAGAGATGGATTTGAAGGATGAATACAAGCTTGTCAAAATGAGAGGGGACAAAGCTAATACCATATTCGAAAAATGGTTTAAGGGCTGGAAAAGGATAGCTATCTGGAGATTAGATTGCTATAGCTAGTCAGAATTAGGAAGTTATGCTATATTAAGTAGTTTGGATTTTATTGTGCAGGTGATATAGGAAACTTTCAGAGAGGACTGACATGATTAAATTTATTTTAGATTGGTATATTGGTTCTAAAAAGGGCCAAGAATAGAGCAGGGAGATCAGTTTGGGGGCTAGAATCATAATTAAGTAAAAGAAAGTAGAGGCCTGGTTAAAGGAAGAGGCAGTGGGACTAGAAAGTAGGTAAGAGAAGGGCAGTAGAGACCTATCAGAAGCAAAAACCTCACCACTGCCAATGTCTAATAAGGACAAGATCTACAGCACTTCTAGAATGAGATTTAAGCAATTCTTCAGAGGGAGGAGAATAGTGAAATAAGAGTTCCACTGCATATGGAGAGCTAAATAAATACCCTTCTGCTAAGTGTGCAACAGGAATGGAGGGAGATTAGAAGAGCTGAAGGGTGACGATAGGCTTTCATGTGAAAGATGTGAGTGTCTGCTCCTTCCCAGTAACTGAGAGCTAAAGAAGAAGCCACAGCAGTAGTTTTAGTCTACTGGCTATCACCAATTAATTACAAGCAGCTATACTCTAGGGCTTCCTGTGCTCTATAAATCCTCCTATAATCTCAAGGGACATAGGATGAAAGCAGCTATCATATTCATCATAGTAAATAACCTGCACCTGGGCTGCAAGTAATGTCTCACCTAAGTCAGAAATAATCCAAAAATAATAACAATTTTTTTTAAAAAAAATCAGGATGGGAATATTTGAAAGAAAATCAGATGGGACCAGATACAACAAAGGATAATGGATCCAAGAAATCAAATTCCCCTCCACTGGTTGTTTTAGATTTTCATGAAGCCATACTGGGATAAATGTTTTGTTGAAAGTAAATATTAGTGATATTTTATATAAGTTAAACAAGAAGGGAGGGCATGACGTGGAAGGAAAAGAAGCTGTAGTACCTGGCCTGGAGATCCTTCCTGCACTGCCACCTTTACTACTGCCGATGCTGTCACCTCGGGTGAGGATAGAGATTCCACTGAAACTGCTGGCTTTGGTGACAGGAGGTCGCATGCTCCGGACAGAGCCATCTGAGTCTGTGCTGCTCCAAGGCCTTGGCTCCAGGGATTTGAGTTCGCTGTCTGTGCTGCTCTGGCGGCTGCTTGAAGTACGACTCAGACCTTCTCGGTTCCCCCTGCAGAGACCACAGTGGTCAGAGCACCCCCCACCCACCACTTCAGCAGAAGGGCTAGGAGAGAGTTCACTTCTGTTCTCTCAATAACAAAGAAGGGGTAAGGATTAGGGGGACTGGTTTCTTGTTAGTTGGCTGGCCAACTAAGACTTGATGGGAACAGACAGATTGAGATCCATCCAGTACAGCAACAAAGAGCACAGAGGCAAATCTGAAAGACATTGCACTGGTAGCTAATTCAAAACATTGGACCAGAGGTGGATGGGAAACCACATACATGATGCTGAGATTGGCTGTGGTCTCCTCCCCATCCCCACAAGGATCCCATACATGCAGGAAATAGTGGGGGAAAACAGGCAGCAGTTCCTTCTGGAAGTTCTTAAAACAATAGGACTCCCAGAAGTATTGCTAGAAGACAGAGTAGCCAATGACATGGATAAGTTCCATAACAGATCTTCCACATAACATGTGTCTAAGCCAGCAGAGGTGCTGCTTATGGCCACCTTTCCAGGGGTTGGAAGAAGAGTATAATGAATAATCTGAAATTGACCCAATTTGTTTTGTGGAAGTTCCATGTTCATATCTGGGGGCATTTGGTGCTGAAGTATTTTTTTTTTTTTTTTGGATACTGGGGAATGAACCCAGGGTGCTTTACCACTGAGGTATGTCCCCAGCCCTTTTTATTTTGAGACAGAGTCTAAGTTGCTTAAGGTCTCACTAAATTGCTGAAGGTGACCTCAAACTTATGATTCTCCTGTCTCAGCCACCCAAGTAGTTGGGATTATAGGTATGTGCCACCACACCGGGCTTGGTTCTAAGTCCTCAGCAAAATCAAACAATATACCCTTGGGATTCAGGGTGGCAAAAGTCAGGGAGTCAACTTTGTCTAGTTGTTTCCACATTCACAATCCAACTGCCGTGGGCAAGGCACAAAAATTATTGTTCTTACTATTTCTTAATTAATAAGCAACCAAGAACCAGGAATTTTCTTTTCACTCTCATCCCAATCCTAACAGCTACTGATCTAAGTAAACTACAAGGCAACAATTACAGATTTTGATATGTATGCTGGGGAACAATTAGGCAAAAATGATAGTAGTTTGGGTTCCCTCATTTTACCACCATCCTATCAAAAACAGAAAACTCCATCCCAATCACCTTAGCTACAAAGGTCCTGGGCTTAGATTTAATTTTAACAACAAAGTTATTTTGGGGTAAATATTAAAGGAGAAATTGTTGTTAATTAGGACACCTAATCCAAAGGCAGTGTAGGGAAAATGGGAAAAATATATGCTATGGTCACTTTTAGTTTTTATTAGCTAAAACAATGATGGGGAGCTAAAAACAAGCTGACACAGCTGTTTGGGAATGTGCTCCTTCTCTGTTACCCAAAGTATATGTATGTATGTATATATTACCTCAGTTCTTCTCTCCATTTAGCTCAACAGGTGATTGTGAAATGTTACTGTTTCCCTAAAACTTTAATTCTTTCTCTTGGGATGCAAAAAGCAGAAGGGGAAACGAGAGAGAGACAGAGAGAGGCATAAATCAGGGATTCTCCAGGAACAAACCCCAGGCCTATAGTGAGAGCCAATAGCTCTGTCTTAATAAACAAAGGCCAGTATACTGAGAAGACTCAAGAAAACAAGGAGTAAGGAGATATAGCAGTGGCAGTGGTTATTGATGCTCATTAGACATTAAAGTCTGAATTTTTCCAAGACAAACTAATGGCTTTTTCTACCTAAATCAAATACTTTACTGTTACAGCAACCTGACATTTATTTTCTCTTGCTATCAGAGGTAATGAAACAACTTTAAATGAAATACCTTGTGAAGCTATGGCCAAAATGGCAGCACTTTTCTATACTCATCCAGTTCCCTAGGCAATAAAGGCCAAATGCTCAATGTAGATTGCATAATGATTTTCTTTTATTTTTTGATACTGGGGAACGAACCCAGAACTACATCTTCTTATTATTATTTTAAATTTTGAGACAGGGCTTCACTAAGTCGCTGAGGCTATCTTGAACTTTTGTAAATCCTCTTGTCTCAAATTATTAACCAATGGAAAAAAAAAATCCTCTTGTCTCACCCTCCCAAGTAGCTGGGATTACAGGTATGTACCACTGTGTCCAGCATTTGATGATTTTCTGGCTAATCTGAGTTAGTACTCAAGAAAGTCTTGGCAGGAAACAGATCAGTTTCTCTATAAATAAATAAACCTGATCTCTAGTTACATATAATAATTAGGGAGAGCCACCCAGATTCAATTCTGAGCACTGGATTCGGTTGTATTTATGTTAGCGAGATGGGGGCAAAGGAGAAAGATCATTCACACTTCATAACCTATAAATTCAGAGATGATTTATCTATTTATTTATTTATTTGGGTACCAGGGATTGAACTCAAGGGCACTCGGCCACTGAGCCACATTCCAGGCCCTATTTTTGTATTTTATTTAGAGACAGGATCTCACTGAGTTGCTTAGCATCTCGCCATTTCGAGGCTGGCTTTGAACTCGCCATCCTCCTGTCTCAGCCAACCGAGCCGCTGGGATTATAGGCGTGGGCCACTGTGCCTGGCAATGATTGAATTTTTACAAGTAGATTTAATGCTGATAAAAATTCAGTTTGTTGGGTCTGGGGAATGGGCAAGGAGGCCTGTGGAAGAGATGGCAATAAATATCAATAAGCCTCACTGTGGCTTATTATTAATGGAGTAGGATCTTCCAGAGAATTGAGAAGTTGCTACAGTTATTGCAAATGTGGATAATGGAATTTGGTGTACCAGTATTTGTTTCATGAACATACATTGGGACAGAAAAGTATTAAACAAAGAAGATCAGTTTCTGCTCATTAAAGTTCTGAACTAATCTTCAAATATAAGTTGCCTCCTTAAAAGTCCATAATGCTGCATTTTAGATGACTTAGTTCACTGATCAAAGCTCAGTTTGAAAAGCAAAAGCTTAAAAGGAGATCTGGAGAAGCAAGGACTGCACTTGTTCACCAGATTCTTTAAAGTATCCGCACAATTTGATGTAGCCTGATGCTCCAAAGAAGAAGGGCATCATTATTGGCAGTAAATCTGAATTAGGGCTCCAAACAGGATACTACTTGGAGAAGGAGTGATATTTGTGAATAGCTGGTACGGTGTAGTAAAAAGAACAATAGACAAAGAATCAGCTTCAGTTTTAACACTAATAGCCATGGAAACTTGGATTAGCTCCTTAATCTTTGTTTTTTTCTTAGCCATAAACCAGCTGACTATTGAGAGAAATGAATCAGATAAAGTATACTCTGGCAACCATAAGTGCTGTGTATTAATTCACACACAGAAATTAGCTTAATACTTCTATTTATTATAAGTATTCTGTGATGATCAATATATCACCCTCAAGAGTAGACTGGATTAGGATTTTTTATTCATTTATTATTTATTTATTTATTTTTTGGACTGGAGATTGAACCCAGGAATGCTTTACAACTGGGCTACATCCCCAGCTCTTTTTATATTTTTGTTTTGACATAGGGTCTCACTAAGTTGCTTAAGGCCTTGCTAAGTTGCTGAAGTTGGCCTTGAACTTATGATCCTCCTGTCTCAGCCTCCAGAGTTGTTTGGATTATAGGCATGTGCCATCATGTCATTTAGTTTTTATTTGTTTTTTTTTTTTTTTTTTTAATAATGTGAAGATTCTATCTTTGGTATCACCAGCAATGCAAAGCCATCTCCACCTGGGGACCTCAGGGTAGGATAATCTAGGGAAAAAAGAGCTCAGAAAGACAGAAATCCCCCCTCCAAAGAATTGGAAATCTCAGTATTTCTACACAGTTTGACTACTTTTAGAAAAGACTACAGGGAAAGAACAACTAAAGTACTAGGAATAAAATCCTCAGTCATCTGAGTTAGTTAGACATTTCTTATTAAGCTTAGGATTTGAAAACTGAGAATCCCCTTGGAAAGGGTCAGTCCCAAATCACAGTGTTAAGGACTCAGGGTTTTTCTGCTCCATGTTTTTTTTTTTTTCTTCCTGTTATTATACTGGGGAAGAATGTACTTAAAATGAGTTGGTACCAGCATAGGGCCCCAATGTAGGGCTTCTCTCACCTCCACCCTGAATTATCCTTTGGGATGGGACTGAGAAATTGAAATAAAGATTCTTATGCTTGCTTTGCAGGAAAATGGAGAATATTAGGCACTGGGAGGTTAACATAGCAAGCAGCAGCTTTTGCCAGAATTATAGGTAAGTAATGGACAATCATATAAAAGGACATTATTTAGTTCATTCTAAGGCACACAGGTCCTTTAGGTCCTTTCTAAGGTCATCTTACACACTGCTTTGTCTCAAAGAGAAAACTATGTAGACAGAGGCATTCCTTGAATATTTATGTATGTGTACATATTATTTTTTCCTACAGATACAAAACATTCCTTATACTGTATCAGGGATAAGCTCTCCACATCTTTCCACAGACTCAGAAAAGGTAGCCAGAAGACACCTGTTCTTTTACCTTACTATAAATATATGTTTGAAAATGCCCAATTCCAGCAAATGTCTGGGAGGGAGCAGTACCCATCCCAGAAACACCTATTTGGTTTTGTTCCCTATTCAGGACTCAAAGTGAATCAGCAACAATAAAAATTAAGTCATTGAGCAAGAGCCATTTTTTTTTTTTTTAATGGGGAAAAATATCCAGTGTTGCAAAAACCACAAGTTTATTCCACAAGCGGCCATGCATGGAGCAAACCCATTCTGCTGAAAATATTATAGCAAAACAAAACTAAAAGTAAGAAGAGATATAGATCACACAGAGGTACCTAAAAATCTGCCTTCTCTTGTGAGAGCTAGAAGAAAAGGCTTCTTTGGAGAGTCTGTTGGTTAACATAAACAAACAAACAAACAAAAAACAACAAAAAGTAAAAGCATCATTACAGGATTATATTAACCTCACTGACAAAGCTCAATGAAAAGCAGGGAACATGCTAAGTGGTACTAACCTGATGTCATTTAGATATCCGTTCTGGCCAGTCTAGGTGAGGGGGAGAAAACGGAAAATAACTTATAAGAAAACAGCATGGCATAACCAAAAAGGATGTCCATGATGCTATGAATACCCAAGGTCCTCAAACCAAAGCTCACCCCACCAACAGGGAGAGAGGGAGCAAGGACAGAATGACCCATTCCCACATACCCAATCTGCTTTCTCACCTTTAATGGGAAAGAACATTTGGTGCTTTTAGCCTTCCCACAGAATGTTTAAAAAGAAGACTGATAAAGGGAGGATATGAAAAGGAGGAAATGTAAAATTATTATTTCTTTTTAGCTCTAAAATTATTGCTCTAGGAGTAAGCTGAGTGTAATAATTGATGGGCTTGTTCCTAAAGGGTGGGTTCAAAGGAAGGGAAAGGGAGGTATGAGAAATAAACTTCATTTTTTGGAATTAACCTCAATGGCTAGTCCCTTTGTGTCCTTTACTAGACTTGCCAAAATGAAAGACAATGTGACCTGAATCCAAGAAAGGGTAGGATATTAGGGAAGCAGGTACTTTTTAGAGCATAGGAAAAAAAAATGTGAAAATTAAAATCTGAAATATTCCCATGGGGGATTATTTTCTGACAAAGTCACTGAGCTGAGTGAAGTGAGCATCACACTGGATTCCCAAGCCTTAGAAAAAGGTACTAAGAGTATCCAGTTGCTTAGCAGAGTGGGCTCTATGCAGAACAGAGCCTACATTGAGCAGCTGTCCCAATACACAGCTAAGGCTCCAGAGAAAGCTGCAGCAATAGCATTTCCATCCAAACACCCTTCCTGCCACTTTCCTTTCTTTTTGGCTTGCCTCCTATCTCTACACCACCCATCTGCCCCCCACCAAACCTACAACTCTACCCTTAATCACTCTCTCTGGCCAAGCTTCTCTCCATATGGAATATTTGGAGGATGGTGGGCTTTGGCCACTTTTCATCATCTAGACCTCTGAGATTCCCAAGGCCTCTACCATAAGAGCGAGGAAGGGCTGAAACCAAAGTGATATATACCAAGGATTTAACAAAGAATACATATATTAGTAGAGGCTTGAAAGGCTAGAAATCAGGAAAGAAAAAAAGGACAGAAGAGCTAACTTTACTTTTGTTATGGCTCTAGGTAGATACATTCCATTGTTGCTGATAACCTACCATAAGCTGCCTGTGCTTTCAGAACCTCTGTGGCTTTGTTAAAGACTGTCATTCTCCACGTGTCAGTAAAGCACAGGAGTATGTTATAGTCAGCCAGCTAAGGTATGTTGTCACTGGGGCTTCTTAATCTGAAAAGCCTAGGGCAAAATAAGCTATGGAGAGGTGGTTTACATTAGGAGTTAAGAACATGGACTCTGAAGTCAGACTGCTGAATTCAAACACCTGCTCTTAAGCTAATGACTTTAGGTGATTATTTAACATCTAAGTGCCTTAACTTTCTCATTTATAAAATGGGAAAAATAATGTAACCTATCTCATAGGCCTAGTGTGAGGAATACATGAGTTAATCTACAGAGAGTACTAAGAACAATGACAGAAAGATAATAAGTGCTATATGAGTGTTTGCTATTATTATCCACCAACCTACTCTATCCACAATTTAGAGTCATCACTGGTCACAACTGTGTACAAATGACATCTCTCCTCTCATTCCACCCAATTTATTTGCAGGTAAAAGCAGAGAACCTTCTTTGGGACATGGTGGGATAATTTGGAGGATGGACTTTACTGACTCAGAATAGGTTATAAAACAGTAGGTAAGAAGATTCCTTCTCCTTGGACTTTAGGCCAGAATACTTAAGATGTATCAGTCCCCACTGAGGATCCTTAGAAGCGCTTGGCTCTCCTGAGATAATGGAATCAGTATATAGAGGAATTCAGATTTTAGTTATAGACAATATTTTTATGAATGAGGTGATGATGAAAAGATACATATACATAGAAAAAAATTTTGGTCTGGCTGAGAGAGGAGACAGTGGGGGAATGGGAGAAGAGTGTTCATATAAGTATACAGATTAGCTTTTGTTGCTAATCTGACTGTGAGATGCTGCTGCTATTGAAACTTTACATTTCTGGAGATTTGGTCATCTCTTGACTACCCATGCCCTTTCCTAAGGTTCTGCTATATATTTTTTTCAACTGGTAGGCAATGGCAACAGATACAGGGATACCAAGTCTATTAGATATGGCCCATAATTCTTAAGAATAAAAAGTTGCCTAAACTGATTAATGCTGCCTTTTGAATCATAAAGCCAGTCCTGTTCTATGAAGCAAGGTAAGAAAATATAGGAAGAAGGAAACTTCCCATTCAGGTAGCAACTGGAGGGAACAGGGGTACCCTCTGTGTATGTAGAATGTGGAGCTTAGAGATGATGGATGCCAGAACAGAGCTCTAACAATCACCAACATATCCTAGAAACAAGGCTAGTCAAACAAGATGAATGTAGAGCCTGTATGGACATCAAGTCTTCTACTTAGAAGCAAAGATGCCTAAGAGGGTAAGTGGGAGGAGGGTTTGACAGGCAAGATTCAGGGCTCTTCCAACAGCCCCGCCAAAACCATTTCTATTTTCAGTCTATTCATATTTACCAAATTCAGCCACTCCAAGTTTCAGTTCTCTTTGTATACCACAGAGTAGAACATATTAAAATAATACAAATAAAACCTACAGCTTCCCAATAAGCCATATTTAATTTCAGAGGTCAAACCTGGGACTGGCTGATGTTGGTTTAAAAAAAAAAGAGAGAAACAAACCAAAAAACCCAACAACATTTATGGAGGGTTATTCCATTCACAGTTCCAAAGATTAAGAGCTAAAAGCTATGGTCTGACAACTCTCAGAAGCTACACTTACCTCTCGGGCAAATATTCTCTCTCGGACCCTTTGATATTCCTCCTCTCTCTCTTCTATTGACTTGCTCCTCCTTCCATCCTGCAATGGAACTCTGATCTAGATCGATGAGCAGAATTAAGCTAGTTAAGTTCTCCTCGTACTGCAAGCTCACTGCACACCAGCAAGGAAGAGAAACCGGGAAAGTTTATAGTTGCCATCAAAAAAATGGAAAAAAAAAAAAAAAAGAAATAAAATTTCCAGTCCTGGACAGGTTTCACTGGGTACATCTGACCATGCAGTTTGGGAGATCAGGTTTTCTGGATGGTTAATGACTCTTCTTCTCCCCACTCCCCCCAGGATATCAAGAAAACTATTTATAAGAATTAGGGTTGCTTCCCTGTAGTAATCAGGTACTATCTAGTCAGTAAGGATCAGAAAACATCCCTGAGAAAATAAACAACATTGCTTTAGAGGGAAAGTAAGGGATAGAAAGAAGCTAGAGCGGGAAAAGAACAGTTGTTTAGCAGAGCTGAATGTAGAAGAAGAGGTTTATAGAACTAGCACATGACATTATCCCTTTAGTCACTAGTGCTGTGACCTGAAGACCCAAGTCACACACAGCTTTGCAAAGAGGGCCTTGGAAATGAAATCCCAAAAGTGAAGCGAAACTCAAAGCCTAAGTCATTTTTCTCATCTTAATTACAGCAACCGAAGGGCAGTAAGGAGAGAGATAAATAGAGAATAAGAACAAAGTGACACATAGAGAAAAGAAGAACAGAATACAAAGAAGGATGGGCAGAGAAAGGAAAAGGTAAATGAAGTACTGTGAAGGGAGAGGACAGGCAGAAAGGGAAAAGAAGGAAATGGAGGACAGAGAACTTTATGTTCTCTGACAAATGCAGTGAAGTGACTAGCAGGAATGTCTAGGCAGATCACCTCTGGTGCTAGCCATCACCTAACTCCCCGTGTCACTGTCTTTTCCTCTCCTGACCTGCCTCTTGTGAATACTATCCTGGGGAGGATATAGCAGAGGACCTTTTCCATATTGCTCAGAAAGGCAAGGAGCTCTAAGGGAGAATTCATCAAATGAATATCACCAGGCTATAGATCATTCTGATTTTCAATTAGAGGCTTTGAAAGCTTCAGACGAAGCAACCAAGGAGCCTGCTATTCTAGGCTGATGCTCCTGATTTTCACTGGTCTCTATAGGTAGCCACAACTTCAGATTTCTACTTTGATTAGATTCAGTCCTCACTTTTCACTAACCTTAATACCCTATATACTACTAATTGTCATTCTACAAATTCTATTCCAAGAAGACACAGGACCTCAAGGAGCTATATTATCCCATCAATGGTAGAGTAGGAAGAGCATAATGGGCTGGGAGGGGTCAGGCAGAATCTCAGCTGTCACCTTCCAGTAACGTGACTTCAGGCAATTAATTTATCTCTTAGCCTCAGTTTTCTTATCTGTAAAGAGGGGCTGATACCCCAAATACATTGGATTGTGAAGAGAATTAAAAGAAATAATGCATGTAACATTTAGAATAGAGCCTAGTTCAGGGAAAACACTCAATAAAATAGCAATGCTATGTTTATTATTAATATCCCAGAGAGAAGTACACAGAGTCTACCCTACTATGGATCAAGTCTGAAGCTGAGAGATAAAACGTTTACAGTAGAGGCAGATTCTACTCTGCCCCAATTTGCCTCTAGGACTGAATAATTCCTGATCCACAGAAAAGGGGTTTTGGAAAAATGGATAGAAGGGCATCAGGATGGAAAGACTCTTTCTTGTTTTTTTAAAATTTAGTTCCGTCTTTTTGTATGTTTTGTTGTTGTTGTTGTTTTGTTTTGTTTTCAATCAGACCCAGCGTGTTTGTCCACATTAGATAATGACACTTTTCTCAAAAAGACTCCTCTAATATTCAAGCAGCAGGATGGGTCCTGGTATCAAGACCACACAATATCCCAAGAAAACTAATTTTGACTCTAGATATTATTATAGTTATCATTAATTAGCAAGACAATAATGTCTCTAACCAACCACACTTTCCAAATCTAACCCCCTTTGGAGGTTAAGCAGAAGCAGGCTGGATCTAACCTCTACTTAGGGAGGAAACCTGCAAACAATCACTATCTGAAGGGTTTATCACAGGTCAGGGCAGCAGCTAGGCCTGTAAATGAAGGGTTGGGACAGGCTGTTCATTTGTTATTCTCCTAGAAGTGGATCATAAAGGGGATCTTGTCTGTGGTTCCCATCAGCAAAAGTCAAATTAACTCACTCACCTTGGTGGAAGGAGTTGGGAAAAGATTAAGGAGTTTGCAGAAAGGGATCAGACACACCTTTATAATTGGTTAAATCAGACCACACTTTGCCAGTTCAAGGCTAGTCCTCAGCTAGGATAAGAGTGGAAGTGGGATAAAGTAGCTTTTAGTGATTCCTGAAGAAATCCCTAACTATAAAAGGGGAAAAAAAAAAAAAAAAGAATGAAACCAACAGCTGGATCACAGCCGAGGCAGGGAGACCTTGCTTTGTCCAAAGTGACATGGAATTAGAAGTCAGTGGCAGACCCAAGGAGTTCTAGACCAAATGAGATCATCCAGCAAACCTCAGCACCATGTCTCTCCAGGACTAAGAGAGTGGCATCCAGCTCAATAAGTGTAGTCAATCTTCAACATTAAGCCAAAGTCAACTTAGCATAGTTCAATACATTTTTCCATTCTAAGGTATTTTGAGTTTTCTCCATCCCACAAACTTCTTCTCCCTTCCCAGTTTCTCTTACTGCAGGCTCTCTCTAAAGGCCCACCCTTTTCCATTCTTCACCTGGTTATCATCTCGGTCCATACTGGCATCATCTCTCTTGAGGATGAATCTCTGTTGAAATTCGGCATTCTTCTCATCTTTTATATGTTCTGAGAACCTCTGTTCAGGGCTGGGATTTGGAAAGAATTGTGAAAGATGGGAGGAAAAAAGACCCCTTTGTTAGAAAGAAGACCTCCTAGGTATAGCTCTACTACATTCCACAATCCCTATAGGGAATTTCTGAAGTCAGACATCCAAAAAGTCAAATAGATATTTTATTGAACTCCTCTGTTCTTTATACACCTATAACTTCTCTTCCTTCAAAGTTGTATGGTCCTATCAATGAAGGTGAAGAAGAGCTAGGGCCAATCTTCAAGAAACATCAGTGCCTCTAAAGCTTTGTAAAAAGAAACCAATAATATAACCGCCCATCCCCCCCGACCCCTCACAGAAGAGTCATCTTAATCCTATACCTTCTTCTTCTACCCTAGCAGGTTATCCCAGGAAAGTCTACCCACTCCATAGTTTTCTCCCTTACATTCTTGTGTTGCTGGTTTTGTTGATGATGACAGCTTTCCCAGTTTGATCGACATTGTGGTCCATTCCAAAATAGGCAGCTACCCGGTGTAATAGCATCCGGTGATATGAGGTCATCTGAGGGAACTTCTTGAACTGGTTACTGAAGGGAAACCCAGGGGGAAAAGTGAAATAAGATATATAATAGTAACAGTAGCTAACTGTAATTTTTCTTACCACTGTCTAAAGAAGAGCATTTCTTAGAAAAACAGACATATTATAAAGATGATACATATTTACTCAGTGGAAACCAAAAAGATTTCTCTCAAGAGTTTTGTAATTATTCTGATCTACCTACTATCCTAAGACTACTTCTTAAGGCCTTGGTCCCACCCACTTGGACGAAGTTTGACAAAGGAAAAAGGGAAACTTAAGAATACAAATTCCAGGATAGGGCCTAGTTGCTGAAAAAGACATTAATTCTTTCTCAATGTATGTCTATGCAACAACTTAAAAACCTCTGTTTTCATACATATACTTTTTTATAAGGTTAATTAGATATTTTTATTTAAGAATAAATAATTGGTTGACTATAATAATCACAACAATAATTAGTGTTGGCAAGGATGTGGAGAAGTTGAAACGTTCATACTTTACTGATAGGGATTTAAAATGGCACAGTGCTTCATAAAACTCTGGGAATTCCACAAAAGTTAAACTAAAATTACCATATAACCCAGCAATTCCACTCCAGATATATATTTAAAGAAATTGTAAACATGAATCCACACAAATGTTAATTGTAGCATTACTCATAATAACCAAAAAGTAAAAAAAAAAAAATTATGTATTTTGATTAACTGATGAATGGATTTAAAAAATGTGGTCTACCCATACAGTGGATTCTTTTTTTCCCCTATACATATACTTTTAATCCATTCTGATTGCTCTCTTAATTTCTTTTGTTTCCCAGTGACTAATTACTTCAAAATTCTCATTTTGAGGGAAAGATAAAAGAGAAAATTGTGTCTAAATTTCTTTCCAGTGCCCCCTCCCACCTCTAAGTGTATATTTCATACAAGTAACTTACTTGTTGTCATTAATAAATTCCAGAATCTCCTGTTCTAATTTCAGCAGCATCATTCTGTCCCTGTTTAAAAAAGATTAAAACAAAACAAAACAAAACACAGCCCTCCCATAGACATTGAAAGCAGGAATTGAAAATAACTTGTTCATTACAGAAGCTAAAGGGAGGGATATATCCAAACTCCAATGGACTGTAATGCAGAGGCTGCTGTGTCTCACTAGCCTGTACTTTGATATTATTTTTAGTTGTAGATGGACACAATATCTTTATTTATTTATTTTTATGTGGTACTGAGGATCAAACCCATTGCCTCACATGTGAGCTACAGCCCCAGCCCCCGTACTTTGATATTTTGAAAGAGAAAACCCAAGTATACATTTTTTAGACCTCCTCCTAATCATATGCTTTGCTATCCATATCAGAAAGCTAATTGTTAGCAATATATTCATATAAACACCTACTTTATACTTATAAATCTATTTATTCTACATCCCTTCTGGTTATTCAGTCTTTTAAAGCAATGATTGATGATTTAGCTTATGTACAAATCAATTATCTTTTTCTTCGTGCTTTTTAATCACTGTGCTCCCAAATCTTCATATTTCTTTGTCTCTACATTCTTTTCCACAGAATTTTTTTAACTCTTCCAAAAGCAGAAACTTCAATGTGAGGGTATTCTGAATCCCTCACAGAATATAAAACTATACTTGAGAAACACTTAGGGAGGGGATGGACATCCAAGATTCATAAGGGAAAAATTCTGGGAAGTTGCTCGGCCTCTTGCCTCCTATTCCCTTTCTCTCTTAAACCAATCATGTTATTACCTTGGGTTCTTTTTCAGTGTATTTACAAGAAATTCATGTAGGTCTATTCCAGTGGAGTCTGTATATTCTTGGCTGGAGTCTAGAAGCACAACAACAAAAGAAATTAAAGTACATGAAATTGCCTTGTATGGTACCTAATCCCAAGTAAAACCCACAACCTGACTGAGAAGATAAGAATAGGAAAGCAGAATCAAACTTTAGGGTTTTAGCATTAAATCCAGAATGACCTTGACTGGTAGCCCTCCAAAAGTCCCCTTCACAAAAGGAAAAATCTGGGCCACAGTGTTGCATCAAAATTATACTAAAATGCCACTTATCATTACTGAAAGGTAAGTGTATTTACTGAATATCCTGATTAAAATACAGTACGTTTTATTCTAGCTATAGCAAATAAATTCCAGATAAGAGCAGTCAAGACTGAATTTTGCAGAATCTAAATACAAATATGCCCAAATATTGACTATTTTTAATCCTAAGGTTGCCTTTTCTTGTCAACTATCGCTTTTACAGAATATGTCTTTTTGCTACCAGTTCAAAAGTTTAAAGCCACCTGGGTGCAGTGGTGCACACATGTAATCCCTGCAATTTAGAGGCTGAGGCTAGAGGATCACAAGTTCAAGGCCAGCCTCATCGACTTAGAGGGGCTCTAACCAACTTATTATTATTATTATTATTTAGTTATAGATGAACAAAATACTTTTATTTTGTTTATTCAGTTTTTCTTATGTGGTGCTAGGGATTGAACTCAGTGCCTCACGTGTGCTAGGCAAGTATTGTACCACTGAACCACAACCCCAGTCCCCTAAGCAACTTATTGAGACCCTGTCTCAAAACAAAAAAAATTATCTGGGCACAGTGACACATGCCTATAATCTCAGTGGCTTGGGAGACTGAGACGGGAGAATTGTGAGTTCAAAGCCAGTCTCAGCAACTGCGAGGTACTAAGCAACTCAGTGAGACCCTGTCTCTAAATAAAATACAAAATAGGGCTGGGGATGTGGCTTAGTGGTTGAGTATTCCTGAGTTTAATCCCTGGTACTAAAAAACAAACAAACAAAAAAACTCCCAAATTAAACAGGCTGGGGAGGTAACTCAGTGGTTAAGTGCCCCCCCTCCCAAAAAGGGAGCAGGTCTGCATTAAAATTTTTAAAAATATTATTCCAGCCATCCCAAACCAAAATATATATGTTATCTGGAGGGTCTGATTATCCATGTCACCATTTATTTCACAGCACAAATAAATCAGAATTGACTACACTGTCCTCCCCTGGGTAGTACCAATGCGGACAAAGTAGCTCTCTGGGAGCATGTGAGCCCTAAACCAAAGAAAGTAAGGTACCTTCCCAAGCAATCAAGTCAGCAGGACACTACAGACTACAAGTGTTTGGCTAGTAAGGCCAGTGGGTACCAGGTTTCAGGATGAGAGGAATATATACTACAGAGCCAGGCATTAAGACAGATGAGAGACAGGGAAAGTCTTCACCTCTAGAGAGCATCTTCCTTGGGACCTTTTCTTTGTTTTTGTCCTTGTCTTCCTTTTCAGAGACATCCTTTGTGGACTTTTCCTCCTCCTTGTCAGAGGGGCAACTGATATGCAATTGAATTATATCCTTAAACAAGAGGAAAAAAATAATGTATTCAAAGAGGAATAAGGATTTTAACTGTCTTGCAACTTGCTTAGAATCTCAATAGAGGCAAATTTTGGGGAGGTAGCTTTATCTTATAGAAGAGTATGTTTTGTTAAATTGCTTTAGTTTTTGTTCCACCAAGAAAGTGGAGGCCCAAGCTTTTCCTGTCAGCAGTCACACCCTACTTATAGAGCAAGAGCTCAAGTTACACCAGTTGTTCTTGACATAAAAACTGGATGGTAATGGTTCTAACCACTGGAGGAAGAATACGGGTGGGAAAACAGAATCAGCTCTGGGATCTCCTTGTTTGTATTAAAATGTATAGTCAAGACATGATGATCTATACGTCATGCACTCACCCTGCCCTATCTTATTCAATAATTTCTGGGGTTTTTTTTATATTTATTTTTAAGATTTTTTTTAGTTGTAGATGGACACAATACCTTTATTAATTTTTATGTAGTACTGGGGATTGAACCCAGTGCCTCACGTATGCTAGGCAAGCATTCTACTACTGAGCCACAATCCCAACCCCTTTGTTTTATTTTTTAAAAAGTACTTTTTTAGGCTGAGCATAGTGTGCACGCCTGTAATCCCAGTGGCTCGGGAAGCTGAGGCAGAAGGACTCCAAGTTCAAAGCCAGGCTCAGCAAAAGTGAGGCACTAAAGCAACTCAGTGAGATCCTAAAATACAAAATTGGACTGGGGACGTAGCTCAGTAGTCAAGTGTCTTTGAGTTTAATCCCTGGTACTCAGAATTTTTTTGTTGTTGTTGTTGACAGACCTTATTTTATTTATTTATATGCAGTGCTGAGAATCGAACCCTGTGCCTCACACATGCTAGGCAAGCACTTTACCACGGAGCTACAACCCCAGCCCAATAGCTTTTGTTTTAAAGTGCCATTCCTGATTTCCAAGCTTGATGTTGATGCTGTGATTGCTACACCAAACCAAACAAATGCCATGCACTCAAAAGCTACACTTATTCTTTAAACAACCTACCTGGGTTTCTAATGGCCCATCAGCAAATGGGGTGGAGGACTCTTCACATACTGCCAGACTACGTACCAATTTCAGCTTGGAATTAGACTGAAAAACAAACAAACAAACAGCTATGTATATTTCCTTCTTTGGCTCTGTTAGCTGTTGATTCCTTACTGGTTCTTCATTGTTGTTGTTTGTTTTGATTTCTGAGTTTCCAAATAGGTCCTATTTGCCAATTCCAGGTTCAAATGAAAGGTAATTCTGCTTACAACAATAGATATGTAAAAACAAATCACAGATGGTTGGAAACCTACTTTCCTTAGCCCTCTTCTGTCTCTAGTCCAGTGCTGTAATTTCTTGACTTGAAAGTTTATTGCAAATACGTAGCAGTATAGCACTATAGAAAGACAATGGACTTGAGCCAAAAGTCCTAGTTATGACTCTTGGTTTTTGCATTTATAAGATATAAGACTCTGAGCAAATTACTTAATTTAATTGTTCTCTGTTTTTCTTCAATAAAGTCAGACTAAAAAAATACCTAAAAGGTTGTGAAAATCAGATAATATAAAGTATATAAATATACATATCATCAAATAGTGCTTAGCATACAGTAGACAATAAATGCTAAACAACTCTAAACTTGAGTAGGGAAGGGTATGAAAAGAAGTGTCTAGGAAAGAATGAAGAGAAAGACAAAGAAATTTTATAATACTTAGGATGATTTAGTGTAATAAAAAGCTAATCCACCTGGTTTTCTTCTGCTGGCTCTTGAATCTCAAAAAGATCTAAAATCCATTATGCAAATCACTGCTTTCCTAGGAATCACTGAAGCCAAAAATTATAGAGTGACTCATTAGACATCTAGCTATAAACATTTACTGAGAGTTCTTACGATAAAACTAAGGTTTGCAGTGAATACCAAAGCAAAAACAGTGTGTGTACTCCAGGTAGGGGAGTACCAGAAAAGAATTTGTGAGTCTGAGGAATAACCTCAAGCTAATTCTGCTGTTAACTACTGAATGTCCTTGTTCAGTTTACTTAAATTCTATAGCTCAAGTTTCCTCATTGCAAAATGGAAATAATAACTGTCTTATTTATGTCAAAAAATCTTGGCAGACCTAAAACAGCAGTGAATATCCTCTGTTCTAAACATTAACATCATGGCCTTCCTTGTAATTAGGCCATGTGATGCATGAGGTAGTGCTACTTATCAAATTTCTTGACGTTCTTCAAACCCAAACCACAAACTGGCTGGGCTACTCCCAAATTTTCTACCTTTAGTTTTCTAGAGGAAGCGGGTGGGCACCTCTGATGACAATCTTCCCACTACAAGGAAGGTCTAATATTCTATTATTCCCCAGCTAAATTAAAAAAGCTATCAGATAATAATATAGTCTTTCCTGATAACTCTGCTTAAAATAATCTATGATGTGTTGATTTTATCATACAATGATTAAAAACAAAATCCTCTTCTCTGTCCCAATGTAAAAAGTAAAACATTAAAAAAAAAAAAAATAAGTCTGTATTTTTGGATATCTGAAAATGTTGAGTCATTTCTACTAATTGGGGCAGGATTTATGTTAAGAAAAATTCAAATGGAGGGGAAAAATGTGAAAGTGAATTTCAAAACTCACACAAACAGCCAATCTCCTAAAGAAGTCAGAGTGAGCAGACAAACTGGCATTTTAGCACAACCAGTACCAAATTCTCCCAGGCTCTGCAGAAGGCTCCAGCTGGGTGTCCTTTCAGGCATCAGAAATAGATTATGACTGAATTAGAGGTAATGGAGAAAAATGAAGAAGACCTTCCACTAGGAAATATATGTGTGTGTGTGTGAATGCAACTGTGTGTATGATGCAAATTCATAATTAGGGTAGAAAGTGCAAACAAGAAAACTTGGCCAACATATAATCTGAATAAACTAGAGGTTGATGATATATCTATCTGTGAGATGTATTACTAATAATATTAGAAAATAAGCAATGAGGAAGAAGTCTTACCTTGGCTCTTTTCCTGGCATGACCATGGTTGGATGTCCGCCTCTGTTAAAAGGGAATTGGAAAATATTAAAGATGGGGAAAATCAATACTGAAGTTAGAAGCAATATATGCTTATAGCATAAAAGCACTAACTATAAAAACTATTATAACAATTGCCAAATTTTGATGAAAATCAAAATCCTTGGTGTCACTCTACTCCAACTGCAGCAACTGTGACATGAAGGGCCTTCAGATCATTCAAACCAGTCAAATCATCATTTACCATAACTGACTTCATACCAGTCAAATCACCATTTACCATGAAGATAAAGAAAAGGAACAATTGATTTGCTGGCCTTTTTCACAGACTGAAAATACTTTTGGACAAACCATGGAATTCTCTCCTGATTAAAATGCTTCTGAAAATGTTACTATCACAGCATGAAATATTTTTTTACTCCAAATTTGCATACAGAAGCCTATTTAATTTATAATGGATATAAAATGTGGTCCTTTAACTATGATTTATAATAACATCCTTATGAGACAGATATTGGAACATCAGAGTTCCAACTTGAGATACCCAAAATACCTGTCTCTATAAATCACTGCAAAAATGGAATGAAAAGTCTTCTTCCCATAGGCCTCCATACTTGAAAATTCTCCCAGTTTTAAGCTCCTGGTGGTGAATCTCATAGCTAGCTTGTCTGGGTCAGAGATATGAGAGGGGAGAGGATAAAAAGGAAGAGGCATGGAAGAAAGGGATAAGATCTCCCAAGCAAAGGGAAGAAAGAGTGGGTAAGGAACAGGGTAGAAGCCACGTAAGATGAAGGATGAGGCTTGAGGTAGGAGGAGGGAACAGCCAATAAACTTACAGGATTTCTAAACATCTGAGATATCAAAATGTGTATGATTAGGGTATAAAGTGCAAGCAAGAAAACTCTTGCCTATACATAATTTGCATAGATATTTGTTCTAAATATTACCCCACCCTTTTGGGGAAGGGGTTGGAATGTCCAACTGAGGCTGTAGGGTGGGGAAGGGGAAATAAGTCAGAGGCAGAATACCAGCATGGTCTTGGGTAGGTGAGGATTTTTCTTTCCTTGGTCCTCTTCACTAGTTAGCAAACAACACTGCCACAATGCAAAATGGAGAACTGGGAAGGTAGATGGAAAGAGTAAGAAATGATGGAGCTGGTCAATGCCAAGACCTGTTACAGCAAGGGAAGATTCACAGTCCAGAAATATGAAGCAGCATTTATCACTACTTTTTCAAATAAATAATACATATACACATCACAAACATTTAAAAGGCATAATGGAGTTATATAATGAACAGTAAATCTTTTACATCTGTCCCCCTGACAGCTGGTTCCCTCCTAAAGGATTAACCAGTATTGAAATTCTTTTAGATCCACCCAGAGACATTTTTTATGCATATGTAAGTTTATTGTACTCGTGTACACAGGTTTTTTTAAAAACCATGTACACACTATTATTGTACACATTACTCTCTAAACTTTGCTGTTAAACTTTTTTCTTTTTTTCATTTTTTTTTTAAACGGATAGCATAGTGCAGAAGATCTACTCTGTCTTTCTTAATTGCTATACAGTATTTCACTGTATGGCTATAACATAACTAATTTTACCAGTCCTTAAATTGTACCATTTAGGACATTTATGATCTTTTGCTAATATAAACAACCACATCATTAAGTTTATCTATAAACAGTATATCTGTAATCCACTAACATTTTTATAAAGTATTGCTAAATTAACTTCAAAGTATTGTATAAATTTATACCGATACTAACGATATATGGATCTGCTTATTTCCCAGAATGGGTAATTTTCATTAAACAGCCAAAGACATACTAAAAGCCTAACATGTAGCAGGTACTATGCTTGCTACCAGAGGATATGGAGATAAAAGACAAACCTTTTCAAAGGAACTCATAATCCTGTTGGAGAAGACAGATAGACAATTACAGTATAGTACATTAAGTGTGTTACAGAGGTACTCACAAAGTTTGACAGAAGCACATAATGAAGTCATCTAACTCAGACCTAGCAACATATAAGTTCATATATTAACAAGTATTGAGTGCCTGTAAGGCACTGTTAGAACTTAGGAATATAACCATAAGCCTAAATGACTAAAACCTCGGCTTAACGGAGCTTATAATTCAGTGAGGAAGACAAGACATTAATAATAAGAATTATATAATATAAACCTTCAGTGGGTGAGTAAGGTTGTCAAGGAGGACCTCTTGAAAAAAAGACATCTCTGGATTGAGTTTTGAGAGGTAAATAGGTATTAGATGTTGGAAGAGGGTTCAGGAGTTGAAGGAGCTCAGGGAAAGAACATTAAGGAGGGGATACTGGGAAGAGAAGGCATATACAAAAGCAAGTTTTCCCCAAACTTCAGCTTCCTTTTATAAGGGACCGAGGAATCAAATCATACTAAAACATAGAATGCCAGAGGTGATGGTTGGCAGGTAAGGGACTAGGTCACAATTTACCATGCTGGGAAATCTGGGACCTAGCCTATGGCAATAAGACACACAGAAAACTTGAAGAGAATTTAAAATTTCAGTTTCTTATTTCATGACCATCTTTCTAAAGCAGCATGGTAGATCAATCAGAGGGATTACAAGTTTCAAGTCAGAAAGCCCAACAAGGAGGGCACACCAAGCTGGTTATTTATAGGATATACCTAAATTCAATATGTGTTACCTGAAGTCTTGCCCATTATAAACAGAATTTCAGAACCTGAATTTTGCAGCACTGTATCCATGCAAAAGATACTGTGAGTTCCAACTGCTGATTCCCAAAATATATCTCACAATATTAGTAATGCAGTCCCCTTTCCTCAAAAATTTTCAGCTCTACCTCAAAACAGACTTCCTTGACAGCACCAGTTAGATTCTTGGGGAGACTTTCAGGGTACAAGCAGAAGGAATACAGGAGGAGCAGAATTTTTAGTGCTGCTGAAGGGGTTTGGGTTCTGTTGGGAAATGGTAGAGAGGAGGGGGCTTCCTAAGGGACTCCTCCATAAGATACACTGTGGCACACAAGATTAAAAATTTTGCAAAAGAAACAAACTCCAGTAGATGGCAGCAGCCTCTCCACCTGCTTTAGTTAGAGGCAGCAAAAGAAATCAAATTAGAAAGGTGGCAGATCCTTTTGATCCCCATTTATGACTGTTTTTATATGCAGGTGAAGACATTTTTACAGTAAACAGGTGCTCATAAAGAATATAAAATCAACAGATGTCCTTTCTTTACTGCCTATTTTCAAAAAGTGCATACAACTGGAGTTCAGAACATCATTCATAAGAGTCTCCTCAGAATAGAATAAGTTGTACTAAAAGTTCATTTAATTGTTATCTTCCATGTAATATGACAGTACATAATTAAATATTCATTTATATGTCCTGAGTATTTAAAATTCATTATTGATATTGGTGGAGGCTGGAAGTAAAGTTGAACAGTGGCAAATTGTCTACACAAACTTTGGGAGGATGGGTGGGGAATAACAAGTCACATGTAAAAGGTAATGGAGAGAAAAGCTGCCAGGATGGAGATCTGGCAAGTTTTAAGCAGAAAGACAGTAAGAAAATAGGTAGACTTAGAGAACAAAATATCTCAGAGAGCTGTCTGATTTTAATTCATCCCTTTATGTTGTAGCTGTTTTCATCTTTAAAGAGGACAAGGCTAGGTCAATTAAGTTGTCTTGAAAAATTATGTTTCAAATTTCCAGACACTCCAAAATGCTATTGCTCCTGCTAGAGTTAATGTTCTATCTCCTAGGCTTATAACAAAGGCCAATCTCAGGCTTGGGCATCAATGAAAGGATTTAGAGATTAGTCTTGAATTATGGAAGAAACCAGCAGTGACCATAGATGGAGAGGAGAGCTGTAATAGATAGGGTAGAGGAGGCTCAGAATCCAGTTAGCTGGATACCAAAAAAGAACACTGGAAGAAGCTTGGCCAACTATCTACTACGTGTAATTCTGCATTGAATATGGATTTGGATGAAAAACGTAAGAACCAAAGGATGAAATTTCTCTCACTTATTCACCAAGTGGCAAGTTCAGAGACTATTTCTGACCCAGAAAATGCTGACTGTTTTAACACAGCCAGGATATGAATTTAATACTGTGTGTGAAGACAAGCAGCTCTAGTTTTAAGAATTTATTCTATGAGCCATGTTATGACTTGTTAAATATGTCTGTATACAGTTTATTTTAAAAAAATTTTTATATATATTTTTAGTTGTTGATAGACCTTTTTTATTCATTTATTTATATGCGGTGCTGCGAATCGAACCCAGTGTCTCATACATGCTAGGCAAGCGCTCTACCACTGAGCTACAACCCCAGGCCACAGTTTATTTTTTGATAGTTAAAAAATATAAAAATGCAGCAAATGTAGCAAGAACTACTGAATGTATTAGGGATTTCATTTTGTCCTTTCTTTTTTTCTCTCTTTCTCTTTTTCTCCCTTTCTCCCTTTCTTTTGGGGATTGAACCCTGGGGCACTTTACCACTGAACTACATACCCAGTCCATTTTTTATTTTGAGACAGGGTCTCATTAAGTTGCTTAGCACCTTGGTAAGATGTTGTGGCGGGCCTCAAACTTGCAAGTCTCCTGATGACAGGAACATGCAACTGAGCCCATCAGGGAGATGTTTCTTTTCTATTTTCTTTTTAAGTATTGGGGATTGAACCTGTGGGCACTTTACCACTGAACTTCATCCCCAGCCCTTTTTATTTTTTTATTTTGAGACAGGGTCTCACTAAGTTGCTTAGGGCCTTGCCAAGTTGCTAAGGCTGGCTTTGAACTTGCAATCCTCCTGTCTCAATGGCCCCAGTCACTGGGATTACAGGTGTGCACCACCATGCCTAGCAGGGAGAGATTTCTTGAGAGAACAAGTCCCTGCCCCAACATAAAGTACCCCCCTCTCTGTATAGGGATTAATTAAAGGGTAATTCACCACTGAGCTACATCTCCAGCCCTTCTTATTTCTGAGATAGCAGGGTCTTGATAAATTGCTGACGTTAGCCTCAAATTTGAGATTTTCCTGCCTTGGCCTCCCCAGTAGCTGAGATTACTGGCATATACCACTGTGCCTGGCTTCAGGCTGGGATTCTTAAGGAGCATCAAGTGATGATATTGGTGACTAGATTCTTACAGATTCTCACTTCTATTCAAATATTAAAGAGAGTGTATACAATGCTTCTAATCCTTACCTGTGTCTCCTGACGCAAACTGGTATCTTCACCTTCTTTCTCAACTTCTTCTTTACTTGGAGTCTTAGATATAAACTTGTTTTTGCTTACAGATTCCTCCACCAGTTTTTTTTCTGATTCTTTCATTATTTCCAGGGTCTCTTGACTAGTGTTACTGTCAGACATGTTCTTCAACAGAACACAGTAGCCTCTATGGACTCCTAAAGAAACATCAAAGGTATTAAACAGGAGGTGCGTCTCTATATTTAACATACATCTAAGACTTGTATTTCTCATGTGTGTATACACATATATATTTTTATAAATATATACATATATTTATAATTAGAATATATTTATAAATACATACATATACACACATATGTGTTTGTGTGTCTGTGTGTGACACACACACACACACATATATACACATATATATATATGTGTGTGTATATA